CACATCAGCTCGTTTTATGGGCATCGGGTGATGTGTGCAGTTGGAAACCTGAGCGTTTCCCTTGCATTTGGAGCACGTGGATCAGATAACGATGGCTCATTAAAAGCTCATTGAAAGGCGGTTGCAAGGTCGGGAGCTTTTCCCAGGTCCGCTCTGCAGACCCCCTGCCCTGTCCCTTTCCAGGAGAAACTTTGGGGCCACGAGATATTCCCAGCTTAGAACAACTCCCTGGTATCTGTCAGATCATGCAGGGCCCGAGCCAGCTCCCATCCTACGAGGGAGGGTTTTTCCACTGCCTTTAAGAGGCGCTGGAGCGGAGCCATGCTCTGTGTAATGCGGATCCGGGAGTGTGCGTGATGCACTGCATGATGACAGAATTTCTGGGAGATTGGCCTAAACAGAAAACCTTGGACCTGGGGCTGCTCTGCCTGAGGAGTGGGGAGGCTGGAGATACCAAAACTGGGCTTGGAGAGGGGTTTTGCAGCTGGGAAAGCATCCCTGGAAGGGCCCAGAGGGTCTGGCTGTGCCACATCTGCCCTGCCCTGGGGTTTGGTGCCGTGGGTTGAGTCCACAGCTGTGTCCATGTCTGGTGCTGCTGGGACAGAGGACACCTGGGAGGGTGTGAGGGGCTCCCTGCAGCACACCAGGCTGGCTGTGGTGCTGCAGCTGAGCTCCTCTCTGCCCCAAAACACCCCAGAGCTGAGTGGCTCAGTCTGCAGTGCCCCAAAAATACCCCAGTGCTGCCAGTGGCACTGGATGGGGCTGCCCTGCCTGCACCAACTGGGCTGGGAGGTTTGGTTGGGAATCTTGCTGACAAGAAAGAGGAGGGAAGAGAAATGTGCTGGATCATTGTGTGGCATTTTAAGTGGAATCCCAATACATTAATATGTTTTTTCTCTCATAAATGCTGGGTTAGGCAGATTTGCACCCTCACAGGACCCACTTTACTGATTCCTGTGATTGCCTCTGCCCTAACTCCATCCTGCTGTTGCTGTGTGCCTTCTGGCTGCTCAGCAGAGCAGGACACCTTCTTTTTACACCCAAAAAGGATGTTCATCGGGGCTGGGATTTCTGAAGCAAAGCTGAGAGATACCAAGTGGTCCTATATAGGTGCTTCAGTTGCTCCATCTCCCTTTTTTTCCAGGCTGATGGGCAAGGCTGGGTTCTCACGGTGCATCTGCCCCATGTCCTGGGGCTGTGGAGCCCCAGTGCTGTGTAGGACATGGCTGGTGGCTTCCTTTTGCCCATGCAAATCTGATTTATCCCTCTCACAGGGCACAGGCACATCAGAGCTAGAGGGTGATGGAGGACCCCAGGGCACGAGTTCTCCCTTGGACTCCCCACAGAGCTTCTTCACATACCACTGCTCTTGAATTTCTAGGGGAAACTTTGGTTCCTTTGGCAGTTCCAGGGAGAAGGCTGCTCCCAATGAACTCCTGGTGCCTTGGGATGGAGCAACAGCACGCTCTGAAGTGGGGTGGTATCACAGTGGCCTGACAGCTTCTAAGTGGGCACAAGCAAAACCTTGGCCCCACCATCTGCATTAACCTGGCTGGTTTCAACACTTGAACATGCATGGAGGAATCATAATGGGAGAGTGAGGAGGGAAGAGCAGTGTGAGGAAAAAAACCTGAAGCTGTCTCTCAAAATCACATGGTGATAAGGCCTTTTCTGGAGTGCCCCATGCAGCTGGCAGCAGAAACCAGGCTTTTATGTTTGGGTCTGGCTGGTTTTTCACTTTCTGCAGCCAAAAGGATCTGGATAAAATTTGCCTGGAAGATTAGCTGGCACTAAGCCTGACTAGACATCTCTGGAAGCCTCCTCTCCAGCAGGAGTAGGTTCTGATTCCCTCCTCCGCCAGCCCTGCCCTAGGCAAGTGTGGGGGGAATGTCCCCTGGAGGGACAGTTCCACCAGCCCTCTCCCCTCTGGCACACCACATCCCTTCAGTGGGGATGCTGGGGAGCATGCAGATGAGATCCCAAGGGATCTTTGTCACCAGGATGACAGGGAGGTGACGCTCCACAGCCTGAGGGACAGGACTGGGAGCACGGAGCCTCGGCACCCATGACCCTTCCCTAGGGACACATCCTCCATGTGTCTGCTCTGAGATAAGAACTGGGCTGGGAAATGGCGTGCTTGGGAGCCCCCCAAGCAGGGCTGGCCTCCCCCAGTGCCAGCTCCAGGGCAGATGTGCCCCAGCTGCTGCACACCGGCTTTGGCACCAGCTGTGCTGTCTGGCCACATCTGAGCTGCCAGCTCCGGGGCACAGCTGGCAGGGCATGGAGGCAGGGGAAGAGATGCTGTGCAATGCCATCCCTACGGCGTCCGTGGGCACCCCCGGCCACATCTGAGCTGCCAGCTCTGGGGCACAGCTGGCAGGGGAAGAGATGCTGTGCAATGCCATCCCTACGGCGTCCGTGGGCACCCCATGCTGACCCAGACACAAAGCAAATTTTGGGGTTTGTGCCCGGGGAGGCCTGGCAGAGGCGGGGGAGACCGCGCTGGTAGCAGATGCCGATGCCTCCGGAGCGGAAAGCCCAGTCCCTCCCCTCTCATTCCTTTTTTTCCTTTTTTCTGCCTTTTTTTCTTCCCCCCCTCTGGCTGATCTTAAAAAAGTCCAGGCGGTTTGGGCTTTGTGAAACCCAAATGCCTTTTGCAGCATCAAGCCCGGATCCCATAAGTAATATCCCAGCATTGAAGAGTAAGACAGTATATGAAGTAGACGGGGAGCTATAAAGACACTTTAAAAGGGGCAATAAAAGTTTTGGGTTTCATATCGTCTTACCAAAGAAGAGAATAACAGAGAAGCAGGAAATTTCAGTAGCAGACATGACAAAGGTCACAGCACTCAGACTGCACCTTAGACGAAAACACCTACTCTTATGAAAACAGCCAGAATTTTTGGCAGGGGCTCAAGAGCTCTTACAGGCAAAGCTCTCGGCAGCGCTAAAAGGTTACAAGAGACTGTTTTGTCTACGTTGCTGTAGATGTTTATAATATTTCCCTGCATTGGTGCTGCAGGGGATATCCTGCCCAGGGTAGTGGATCCAGCCCTGCATCTTCCTCCGGTGTTGGGATGCCATCAGCTTGGGGCTGGTGCCAGGGCAGGGACCCAGGTGTGTGTCAGTCCCAGGTGGGTGCTGGCCGAAGGGATGGATGGCTGGCAGAGCTGGAGCATCACCCTGGAGCATCAGCAGGGAGAGGAGGAGACAAAGCAAACCTTTTGCTCTGTGCAAGAAAATTTGCGGGGATTTTTTTGCAGCTGTGGGAGCGGGAGGTTTTATCCACTCAGCTGCTCCTCAGGTAATGTGCCCTCCATGTTTTCATGGGGTTCGCCAACCTTTGGTCCCTCATGCTCAGCCCCAGCTGGGTGTGGTGGTCACCCAGAGCCCTCCTCCATCACTGGATCCCCACAAAGCTCTCACCATGCCCGGAGTGCCCATGTCCCCAGTGCTTGCTGCAGGGCTGTGCCTGTCACTGCAGCCCAGGAGGGACCAAACTGTCCCAGAATGAGCTGTGGGGTGAAGGAGGCTCTGATCAGTGGCTGCAGCAAGCGAGGGAGGCTGCTGGCACTGCTGGACAGGATCCTGGGGCGAGATCAGTGTAGAGTATTTGCATTTTGGTGAAAAACACCCAGGAAGAGCCAGCATGGCTGCGGGATGCCCATGGGGGTGACCCCTCAGGAAGCTGCTGTGCACTCTCAGAAGCATCTCTTGCAGGCAGTGCTGAGCTACTTCTTTCACTCCAAATCAGAGCACTTGGGCTTGATTTTTGGGGCTACCCTGAGCAGCCTCACATAGCAGAGAGCTCCAGTAGCATGCAAGCAATGAGGAAAGCCTTGCACGCAAACCCTGAGAGCATCTTGTAAACATCCTAGGGGCTGGATGCTGGGAAGGAATGGAGCTGTGTGGTTTAGGTTGGTTTAGGTGCTGGGAACCCTTTGAAAGCTCTCTGCTAGCTCTGCCTCTGCATGCAGCTGCATCAGCTGTGCCACCGCTTGCCAGTGACTCTTGGATGCTTGGGGGTTCATAATTCATTTCTATTTTTGTTGGAAACTCATTCAGTTTTGGTTGTTGCCCCATCGCAGGAAGTTGCTCTGATGAATGACTGGGGTGGATTTCTCTTCCAGAGGAACCCAGGCTTAATGTGGGCTTTCTGTGGACATCTCTGTATATCAATACTGCTCTAATTGTCCATGACATATAGTCTTGGCCTTTTTCCCAGACAGTCTAAATAAATCATACACTTCTGCTATAGTAAATAGTCTGTTAGAGGAGATGTTATAGGCTTACAGCCCTCCCCCCTCCCTCCAGGAGCTTCTTTTCTCTGCCTCTCATTTTCCATGTACTTTCCATACCAATGAGGCACCTGCTGCCTGTGCCTGCAGGTCTGCAAGGACAAAGTGCCCAGTGTTGCAGGTCCCTCCAGGTCTCAGGGGCTATGGTGGCCGTGCCTAGAGTTCTGCTGTGGAATTGGCATCTGCCCTTGACTGAGCTGAGTGGAGCTGGAAAGTTTCCCACCCCGCTGAAGAAATGCTGGCATTGCACACTGGCAAGGTCTTTGTTAGTATATATTATTTACATCAAGAGAATGCATAAATAAAATAGTTAATATCTCACAAAAAATACAGGTTCTGTTAACTGGGTGTTGCAAACGAAGCTTTGTGTGCATGGGCTGGGCAAACCTGCACGGAGGGGACAACTTGGGTCCTGGCAGCCCAGCAGAAGGTGACATGGCCTGGGAGGGCAGGGGTCTGATGGGCAAGGGACAGGTCACAGCCCAGCTGAGTGCTCCTCCAGGCAGAATATGGATATTTACCAAAAGCTTTGCTAGGGCTGATGGTGGAAAGGTGAATCTCAGGATGGTTTGGGAGAAACCTTAAAGCCCATCTTGTTTCAATACCCCTGCCATGGGCAGGGACACCTTCCACTAGACCAGGTTGCCCAGGGAACTTCCTGGGGGAGAAAATCCCAGAGCAGGCACAGAGCTAGTGGGAAAAGATGCCAGAGGAAAACCCAGCAGGCAGGCATTTTCCTTTTGGCTGCAGCCCTCCATCACCCAGGGGCAGGAACACGCGTGCCCGGCCTGCCCGGGGGCTCAGACGCAGCAGCAGAGCGTGGAGCAGTCCAGCCTGGCGGGGGTCCCGGCGCTCCCGGCCTTCTTGTTCTCCTTGGGCAGCAGCAGCACGAGGGCCATGGCCAAGGCACAGTGGTAGAAGCTGTGCACGTAGGTGTAATCCCACTCCTGTGGGCAGGGAGAGCGCGGTGAGAAGCGGGAGCAGCAGGGCTGGGGACTCGCGTGAGGTGCGCGACATTAAATTTCTACAAGTAGCCAAAAGGAAGGGGATAAAAAAGATTCCTGAACCTTCTGCCTCCCTTTGCTGTCAGAGAAGAAAGGATATCCAGTGAAAAAAACACCTTAAAGCAAAGGGGATTTAACACGTTCTAATTTGCACATTTCCCGATTCTTGAATGAAGTGTTTCATTACCCCGCAAAGGACGCGGCGGCGAGGCCGGGGCGCGCGGGGAGGCGGCTTCTGCTAAGTGACATTTTTATGTTCTGCTAGAATTTGCAATTACTAAATGCTTTGAAAAATAATCCTTGGGGATGCCTGTGAGGTTGTATCTCGCAGCTCCCAAAGCACAGAGCAGCCGTAACGGCGGGGCTGAGCGCAGGCACGGCCGGCAGCTGTGTCGGGGGGTTATCGCCTGCCCGGCGGGACCCTTCGGAGCAGGACGGGGGGACTGGCCAGCAGCAGGAGGAGAAGGATATAAACACAGGATCAAGTGCCCCTGGGAGTCACTGAGAGTCTTTTCTTTGGCGTGAGCCAGCTCTGGATCCGGCCATGCCTGGGTTGGATCCAGTCCCTGCCGCATCGCTGTGAGGTGTCCTTAAGTCACCCGTGCCCAGTTTCCAAAAAACCCTGCTCGCACTTGACCAAGCCATTCTGAGGACCACGTGTGCCTGAGGAAAGCACATCCCCTGTCCTTGTCACTCACTGAAGGGGGAAAAGGAGACAGAGCATCACCCTGTGTGCCACTTGCTGTCACACCTGCCCAGAATGGATCAGGGGACAGCGACAAGCACGGAGGGACCCTTATCTCCAGCATGCCACCCCTGGAGCCCCATGCCTGAGCTGGGTTTTGTGCAGGGCTGGATGCAGCCCAGTGGTCTGAGTGGGGCTGTCCCTCTCTTGGTGATGCCCCTCACACCTTGTAGAGTCAGGGAGGGTTAGTGTGCACACAGGTACCTCAAAGAAGAACCTCAGCATCAGTGCCAGCGCCCCGAAACAGAAGCCAGGACCAATCTGTTGGGTGTAGACACTCTTGTCAGGATAGAGCCCTTTCTTCTCCTTCATCTTCTGCAACTGGGAGGAAGGAGAGAGCACACCAAATGGATTCACCTGGATTTAGCTGGCTACTCCACCCCAATTCCTTGTAATAACACTGTTTTTTAAAATATTCAGCCCCAAAGCCAGCTCAGAGAGTGTGTGCCCTCACAAACCCAGCTGTGGGAGAGCAGGCCCCAGCACAGCATCTGAAGACTGGAGGATGCAGGACGCTCCTCCTTGTTCTCCTCCTTGCCCATCCCCTCCCCATGGTGGCCACTTGCTTTTAGCTGCTGGCTTAGTGACAGTTTATAACTGGGGCTTGCCAGACTGGAGGATGCAGGGTGCTCTGTGCCTTGGTCTCCTCCTTGCCCATCCCCTCCCCATGGTGGCCACTTGCTTTTAGCTGCTGGCTTAGTGACACTTGCACCACTGTATTTCCATGGTGTTTGACATCATCTTTCTGCAATTTTTATCCCATCACTCCTTGCTCACTCCTGCAGTGGCTTCCCCACCTCACTCCCAGCTGGGTCCACAGCACAGTGGGGCACAGACTGCAGCACTGTGCCCAACTGTCCCAGATGGATTCAGGCAGACTGCAGACAGATTCCTCCCCACTTTATCACCGTGGTTTTATCCACAACTTCCCCAGATCTGGGGCAGTTTAGCAGATCCCTCTGCCTCTGAGTAGCCATAAAAACTCCATAAATACGTTCCTCCTGATTAGAAATGCAGGGACAGGAGATGTGGTAAATTGCTCAGACCGATCGAATCTGGCATTTATCACCAAGGCCGCTGTCTGCCTTCTGCTCAGGTTAAAGGAGAAATCACAGTGAGAGCTGCATCTTGAGGAGGAAATCCCTGAAACAAGCTGGACACCTCCATGCAGGGTTCAGCCCTTTCCCCACCAGGAGCACCCCACAAAGCCCACCCCAGTGCCCTGCCCCACGTACCCATCTGACCGTGATCACCAGCACGGCCGTCCCGATGGGGCCCGAGTAGACGCCGTAGCCCCAGCGGTCGTGGTAGATCCTCACGGCGATGGTGAGGACGCCAAACATGATGAAGGTCGATCTCTTGGGCTCATCAAACTCTGCCAGGGCTGAGGGACAGAGAACAGGGAGCACCAGCTCGCAGCCCCCCTTTTTCAGCTGCTCGCCTAAAGCCTTCCTGGGGTCTCTCCTCCCTGCCCCGGGGTTGCGTCTGTGGCTGGTTTGCTCTTCTCATGTCACACTGCTGGGGAAACTGAGGCACGTGGGGCAAAGCAAACCATCCTGAGGCATCTGAGTGGTGGGTCCAGGAGATGATTGTTGGGGTTTTATTTCAGTGTTGCATGGGGAAGCTTAAAGGAGATTCCCTACCCAGACGAGCTGTGGCTGCCCAATTCCGGGAAGTGTTCCAGGCCGGGTTGGATGGGGCTTGGAGCAACATGGAATAGTGGAAGGTGTCTCTGTCCATGGCAGGGGGTGGAACAAGGTAGTCTTCAAAATCCCTTCCCACTTTAAACCACTCTATGATTTCCCTTTTACTAGACCCAGAATTCAGAGGCGATTGCAAAAACCCTCATGCCTTGCAAGCCCACAATCAGCTCTTGGGTTCATCCTGCATCTCCAGCCTTCCCAAACTTGCCAGCTCACTCTGGCACAGTCTCCACCACCCCAGAGCAGTGGAACTCCCCCACTGATGCCATGGGATCCCAGCTGCCCGGCCATGCCGGCACCTGCCCGGGGTTTGCAAGCTGGAAAACACCAGTGTGAGTAAATTATTAGAGGCTTTTGTTTAGCACAGAATGGGGTAATAACTGATAAAAGTTATGGATCCCAGTGGGCTCCATGCTTTTCCAGCTTGCACAGCTGTGTTATGGCTGTCCTGGATTTGCATTCCGGGAAGTTTGCCCAAGGGTCTGCATCCGCACATGTGCACTCGGGCTTTACAAGCCACAGTGAGAGGCTTCCCTGGGCTTCAGTCACCACACCTTCCATGTCCTTGGATCGTGCTTTTATAGGGAGTTTGGCTAAGGGATAATGTCCGCATGTTAATCTCTGTTGTTTCCCAGCGGGTCAATATTTTAAACCTCGTAGTCCAGGATTTGTATTTTTTGCGAGGTTTCTGAACGCAGTAATGAAGCAATCAAGTTGAATTTTGCTGCAAGGAGCCAAAGTGTCTGGATCAGCTCTGACCTACCCTGACACTGCTGTTATCCACTGAAAATGCCCTTTGGAAATGATTTGCCTCGTTATTTTTTCTAGCTGAGCAGAGAGAGCACTGAGGTGCCCTGAGCCGTGGGGGAGCCCCCCTTGGGACTCACATTTTGATGGGACAGAGCCATTTCTAAGGGTAATATTTTTCCCACCTATTTTTCCCTGCATGGTAAATTTATCCTATTGCATGCCCTGGAAGGGGGGTGCTCCTGCATCCCCACAGGATGAATTTGCCCAGCTGAGGGTTGTTACCCCTGCTTGTGCTGGGATCTGAGGCTGCAGGAACCCCATCCCTGCTGGAGGTCCTGCACCATCCCTGGCTAGGGGCAGAGGAGAAAATCCTATGGCCATTTTGGGGCTGTACATTGGAGTGCTGACTCCAGCTCATTGTGGGGAGAAATGGGAACTCTGTCTGGAGTGGGCACTGGTTAGAAATAGTCCAAATTTTTGAGCAAAACCTTTGTTTCTTGGAACATTTATCTCGCCTGACCCTGCTCTCTTCTCCTGCCATCAATACTCACATCCTTCCAAAACTCATGGTGACAAAATGGGAAAATGATAGGTTTGAACTTTTGGTCTTCCTCGTATTTTTTTCTGTTTCTGTTATATTTTGTGTTAGTGATAAATAAGGAACAAAATGAGGAAAAAGAGAGTGAAACAAATGTGGGGAAAGGAAAACTGAATAACAGGGCAAGGGGTGGGATTTATAGTAAAAAGGAAGTGAAATAAATTTCTGCTCTTTCTAAGCAGATCTAATATTCCCATCAGACCAGGCTTTTGATAAACGAGGAAGTTATATTTGTTTTGACTAAACCACTTTGATTCTCATGCTACCAAGGGAAGTGGGAGATTCTGCATTTCTTAATGCCCCTAAGCCAGGCAAGACAAGCTAATGGGCCTGGTATGGGGAAAATAAGAAGAAATGGGAAATTCCCTGGTATATGAGGTTTCAGACTCAGTCATCTCATAGTTGTGTCCTGCCTTGAACTGCAGCACAAGGCTGCCAGTGTGTTACTGTCATTTTAGCAGAGGACATGTGTGAGAGCTGGTGCAGGCAGAGGAACACCCGACCAACACCACCAGCAGGTGCCACAGCTCTTTATCTCCAGGAGCAAAATGTCCCCAGCCACCACCCAGAACAGTTCCATGTCTGGACCCCACCAATTACAAAGACTTTCCAAGGTGTAAATGATACAAAACCGGATTCATCCATAGCACAGACTGACTTCCACAAAGGACAATTTCAGTGGCAGCTCAGGTAGAGCTCAGAGCGAGCGGCATTTCTGGGGACTGTCCCCACTGACTGTCCCATCAGCCATCCTGACAAATCCAGCCTTTCCTGCCACTGGTGCAGCTTTCAGCAACCACCAGAGAGCAGTTCTTACCCATCAGGGACACCCAGATGGACAGGGCTGTTCCGTAGATGCTGAAGTACTCCAGGATGTCGTAGCGCATAAAGCACAGCACTGATAGCCCAGGGCCATCACAAACGTGGTAAAACTATTCAAAAAGAAAAAAAAATATCAGAAAACCAGTTTCTTACTCACATACCAGTAAGGTAAAGGCTTTTATCAACTGGTTTGAAATAGTGTAGCTGCTGAGAGGATGGCCAGCCATGCCAGAACAGTGTCAGCTACAGCAGGACCACTGATATGCAGTAATGAATATATTTGAGTGATAATGTCATCGTTCCTGGTTGCAAATTGCCCAAGAATCAGCATTCTTCTCTCTTAGTACAAACTAAGACAGGCTTTAATTTGCCTCTTGGCCAGAATGTGCAATCTGATGACCAAGCTGCTTTGAGCTGGGTGCTGGGGGATGGCCTCTCCAGCAGAAGGGGGACTCTGGGGTTGTGGTTTTAATTGCGAAAGATTCTTGTAAAACAATTCAGAATGAGTGTCCTGATGAAATGTGTATGGATGCCAGGTCACTGTCCAGGCTAAACAGGGTTTATATGGCCAGACTCTGAATACTGGGGAATTCACTCATTAGTGCATTCCCTTAAAAACCACCAGTTCCTGCCCATTAACTCATTGATTAGGTTATTTGCAAAAAACCCCATTGTCATGCAACATAAACACAGACCACTCCGAGAGACTTTTTCAGTGCAATCAGAGGAATGCTGCCAGTGCTTGCCTGGCTCTCTCCTTTTCCTGCCAGCCCTCAGCCCTGCAGGTTTTGCAGTGGCAGCACCAGGGAGCTCTGCTGTTCCTGAAGAAGTCCCTGCTCCGCTTGGCTGGGCGCCCTTGGAACGCTGCTCGCTGTCACGGCCCGGTGGGGATGCTGATATAATTTATAATGGGAATTGCTGCGAGCCCTCTGGCTGGCTGCAGCTTCTAGAAAAGATTGCACCACGGCTGGAATTCTTCTCCCTGCTTGAGATTGGGCTCAGGGAGTCTGGAGCCCAGGGGGAAGAAAGGGTGGAAGGCAGAGCGTGTTCCTGGCACTTGTCTGCCACAGCCATGTGCTTTCACTGCTCTGTTCGGCACTCCTGCTGGAGGAGGAGTGGGATGCTACAAAAAATGCAACAGCAGCAGCTGCTGCCCTTCCAACCCCCTCCCCACCATGCTGGCAGCTGCCTCTCCTCCTTTCCCTTCTTTCCCTTCCCCACTCAGGGATATTTTGCTTCTTCAATCTCTTAGGAGAGGACCTGTTCCACCTCCCATCTAAACACGTGCCAATTTTCCTACCGGCTTCTCGGGGAGGTGGAGCAGACACAGACCCAGTGCAAAGTGAAATTGTAGATGTCTGGCTTCCCTGGGGAGCTGGGGCAGGAGGCTCAGGGATGCATTCATATTAACTGCTCCTGTAGTTTTTACAGAACTGGCAGAATTTCTCCCCCTGCCTCATGCTTTAATCAGCTCAAATGGTCAAGGATGTTCTGTGGATCTTTAATAGGAGACCAACCTGATTCTGAGCTATATGGAAGAGCTTTTCACACTGGGAAGATCCTTTATCTACTCCCTGCCTCACTTTCTCTGTACAAGGAACGTGCCAACCCTCACGAGATGCCTTGAGATGGATGGGGATTAGTGGGAAAGGCAACATCAGCTGGGTTGCTGAGCTGTTTCATACTTTTTAGCAGATCATTGAAATATATAGTCAAACAGGAGAATTTTTCCAGTGGGAATGCTGCTTTGGGTGCTCAGCTGGTGTCTGTATGGAGTCAATTAGCAGAGATACAAAGCCCAGGGCAGCACATGGCTGGGAGCAGGAATAGGAATGTTTTATATATGTACAGACATTTCTTCACTAGTTGTTTCCACACAAAGGAAAGCCAGGGAATCAGAGCCTGGCAAAAGACAGATTTCAACCCACAAAGAGTTAATAATTATTATATTTCAGCCTGTTTTAGTCTCTCCTTTCCCAGCGCAGAAACTCCCCTGACTCCAGCATTGCTCCCATCCCCAACTGGCAATTGCAAAATCAATAATTTGACTACTATGTGCTTTTGGCTAAAATGACAGAGGCAGAGCAAGAGATCCTGGAGGCAATTTAAAGCCTAAATTCTGCATGGCCACTTAGCAGCTGTAAAACAAAGAGAAAAGCCAGCTCCAAAGCATTGCAAATCAGTCAAGGCTCTTTGCACCCAGACCTTCTCCCTAATCTCAGTCATAAAACACCACTAACTTTCTGTAAGGCCACACTGTAGGACATCCTAAACTGGAGAATCAGCTGCTCAGCACCACACACGGTGGGAAATAACTGAAAAAGGTTGTGCTGGCTGCTCTTGGGTGAACCAGCTTCTCAGTGGTACGGGGGGCATTAGGGAGGATAAAACATGCAGGGAGAGGGGAAATGGAGAACTTCTTACCGCCACAAAGAACATGGTGAAGAAGTAAACCATGGCTTCCATGTGGAAACGCCGCTTGGCCGCGATACTGATGGTGGGGAGGAAGACCAAGGAGCTGAGGGTGGGCAGGAGGAGCTTGGCCACCAGTGAACCCATGGGTGCCTCGTGGGCCAGCTGGGAGCAGGGTGTCTGTGAGCTGGGCAGGAATGGTGAAATGGAGAAAGCAGTGGGGAGTGTGCTTTAAAATTTAAATGCCCTGGTGGCAGGAGGGCTGAGGGCAGGGAACAGCTGCCACCACCACAGCCCTCGCTGCTGTCTCATCCTGAATTCTTGACACAGCCGGTGGCTCCGGGCAGCAGATGCTCTGTGCCCCCAAAACTGTCCCGGGTGTTTCTAAAGGAGGAAGAGGGAATGTTGTCCTTGCACGCCTTGTGCTGGGTGTTGGATTTGGGGACATGGTGGGTGAGCTCAGGCTCCGGGTTTGCTCACTCCTCATGGGGACATCCCACCCCTACATCCTGCTGTCCCTGTGCCAAGCCTGGTCAGTGCTGCTGGAGCAGTCCAGCAGGCAAAATCCACCTTCTTTCCTCACAAAGTGGAGGGGCACTGATCTGTCCTCTCTGGTGGCCAGGGATGGGACCTGGGACTGTTCTGTGCAGGGTCAGGAGCTGAACTGGGTGATCTCTGCACATCCCTTGCATATTTTATTACTCTCTGCTCTGCATTTCCACGAAGGAAGAACTGGTATGTGGCAAGCACTAGGGTTTTTTTTTTAAACAGTGGGATGTATCCGACGACCTTTGTGCACTTGAGAGACACACACCAAGCTCCAAACCTGCCTTTTATTTCCCCACGGGGGCACACCTGGGGTGGGTGCAGACACGGGGGAGCTGATGTGACACAGCACCCAACGCCTGCTGCCAGTGCCTATGTGCCCTCCGTGGAGTTCAGTGCAGCTAAATCTCCCAGCCATGCCCTCAGCCTTTGCAGCCTGGCCACCTCCAGGATTTCTGTCTGAAATTCAGGAGCCGAGCGTCTCTGGGCTGGAGGAATTCGAGCGGATTGTCGTGCGGCGCAGAAAAGCTGGAGGAAAGGAAACCAGAAGCCAAGCGGCGTTCGGGCTGCTAATCCACTCAGTGGCTCTCTCTTTTATTATGACTTTTTATTATATCGCTGCTGCTCCCCCCCCGAGTTAATATCTTTTCCTTGGAGCCTCGCAGGGATTCTCGGCATCCTTTCGGCACAGCTGTTCCCGGGACACGGGGAGCAGGAATGCTCCGCTTGAGCAAGCGCCTTTGTGGCTGCGGCTTTGGGGAGGAGGCTGGGAGCTCTGATAGGAGCCACCAGTTCCAGGGCTGATAGGACGGGCTCGCCTGTCCCCCGGGAGGGGGTCTGGAGGAAAGACAGGCACGCACAGGATAAAAAAAATCCTCTTTAAACCACTCCAGGACGTTGGGAAGGGCTCTGGAGGGGGAGTGAGGGCTGTGTGTGTGTGTGTGTGCAGGGAATGGCACAGAGCATTAAAGCATTGACTCTGTGCCGAGAGCCTTCCCCGGGGCACGGCTCAGATGAGCTGGGTATGGCTCCCGTTTTTAGCTGATACTGCAGGAACCATCCGCATTCCCTGGCTGGCTGCAGGCATCATCCCTCCGCGGGATGCTGCCCGCACCACATCTCCAGCCGCCCTCCTGCCTGGGCAGGCTATAAACTTACCACAAAACTCTGCAAAACTGAATCTTGACCAATAAATATTGAAAAACCCCGGAGTCCCTATTTACTGTGAAAATGAATCCCTCCAAGCCAGCACATAAATACCCTGATACTCCCCAGGTGTCCAGCCCTGAGCTGAAAGCAGAGCTCCAGCACAGCCCAAAGTACCCTGTTCCTTTTTTGGGCCATATCCTCAGATGAATCCATTATTCTGTGTTTATGATCTGCTTGGACCGGGGACAGTGCTGTGGGGCACAGCAGGGCTTGTCCTCAGGGGGGGTTTTGAGCAGATTTGGGGTTGAGGGGTTGCACAAGCCACTCCAGATCCCTGGCTATGAAAACATCATCTCTCCTGCTTTTGTGGCCATGAGATGGATGTGAGAGAGGTGAAATCACAGCTCCAAAACTGCTGCTGAGGGCAAACCTCCATGTCTGGGTGCAAAGCAGCCCCCACAGCACTTGTGAGGACACGGCAGTTGTGCAACAAGGACGTGCAAGGGTGGTGCTTGTGCACAAGGCAAATGGCATCAGGTGAAAAATCCCATCAGGCAGTTGTTAAATACATCCCCCTCACCCCCTGCCTTCGCCCAAAATCCAGCTGGCTCCCACTGGAAAGGAAACCCCGTTGGCTGCTGGATGCAGCAAGTGCCAGCCATGGCAGGCGCTCCCCAAGCAGGGAAGTGCTGGAGCTCTCAGGAGCAAGAAAACATTCCACAGGTTGTTGGGGTTTTAATCTATTTTTATTTTTTTTTTCTCTCCCAGCTGCACGCCCTGGGCTGGTGGTTGGGCTGCTGCCAGCACTGTAGACATGGGAGGGCAAAAAACTCCCATCAGGTTGCACACGTGTTTCAGCTATTATTGAAAAAGAGCCCCCAGAATAAATGGGGAGGAGAGGGGCAGGCAGGTGGTGAGCTCCTGGCAGGAGCTGCTGCTGCTTAAAAGGTCTTTGTTCACTGCGAACACCGCGGTGCAGACGTGGGTTGGGCAAACCTTCCCGGGAAGGAACCCAAAAAACAAAGGGCCAGGACTTTGTTCCTTCTTTCCTAAACAGGTAGGAAATGGAGAAAGAGCAAATTTTAGCTCCTGAGTTTAAGTGCTGCTGGAAAGGGGATTTTAAAATCTGCATTCCACAGGGCTAATTTCGTGTGGATCGGCGTGCATGCAGGAACGGTGATATATATGGCTGAAAAGTGGCTCCCAGATGCCAAACCCAGGTTCTGGTATGCTGTCCTGGATCCTTCCAGGGTAACATTAACCATGGCTTGCTGCAAGCACTTCTACCCTTTCAACTCAGACGTTGCAGTGGGGGAAAGAGACACAGAGAGTTTTGTTTTATTTTTAATATGAGGGTGATGGTTTGAGAGCAGTGTGTGTTGGAACAGGGGCTGAGGGGGCTGTGCCAGCTGAGAGCATTGAGAGTATTTCCTCCTTGGGGTGAGTATGGGATGATCTTTCATCTGCTTGTGGTGCAGACTTGAAACCTGCTCTGTTGGGCGTCACCAGCCAGTGCCAGGCTGGAAATACTGGTGATAATGACCCAAAAACAAAGAGTGAAGCTGCAGTTCTACAAAGTGCTTTTTTTATCACTCCCATTACTTCAGGGTTTAATTTTTCATCCCCACAGCCCTTCAGCTGGTGCACTCTGATGGTGAGAGGCTGGGTGGTGGCCTGGGCTCAGCAGGTTGATGTGGCAGAGCCCTGAGGAGCCCTGAGCAATGTGACCAGCACGGCACCATCCAGTTTGTGAAGATTTCCTGCCTTTTTTTGATCAAGAATCCTCCTGCTGTGGAAGCACCTGGTGTAGGAGTGGAGCAGCCCACGGGCACAAACCCTTTCCTGCCAAGCTGGAGAAGGGATGGCAGCAGCACCTGGATAAAACCTCTCCCCACCCACTGCTGTCTCTGAGATCCTGATGTGGGGAACAATTTCTGGCCAGCTGGAACCCAGACACAGCCCTGGCACCAGGGAAAGGAGCCCCATAAAGGCAGAGCCACCAGCTGTGCTGGAGCCCTGCTCAGCCACTGCTGCAGCCCCAGCTCTGATCACCCAGGCCCAGCCCTGCCAGAGCACCTGCATCCTCCTCATTTTATTAGTGGAATAAATTGCCACTTAAAATATCCATTCTCCCTAAGGCCTGGCCCCATTTGAGGCAGCTTTAGCTGAATACTTACCCTTAAAAAAAATCCCCCTTCCTGTCTCCCTGTTGAATAAACCTATTATGCATATTGCTCACAGGTATTCCTGCTGCTGTTTTCCTTAGGGTTTTTTCACTCTTCCCTTTCCTCCCAGCCCTGTCATGGCCCATGACAAGCATGTCACCATTAATGATAAGGACATCTGATTTCTTGTCACCAGTTTTCCATCGCTCCTACCCTTGGGATGTCCTGGGGTGGCCCCCCACTGCCAAATTCATGGAGGCAATGCAGGGGTTTATTGCTCATTTCATGGTGTTTAATGGGGTTTTTTTTTACAGTCATAACTCCTGGAGCCCAGTAACGACGTTGAGGGTCTCAGCTCTCACCCTGTTGGTCAAAAAAATGTCATTTTCTGCAGAGAAATGCTTGAAGCTGTCATGCTTCGAGGCTCAAAATCCAAAAAGGGAATGAAACCAGTCTTAGGGTTTTTGGGGAGTCTGACTCACGGATTTTGAATGCCTGTGGTTGGCAAGGCTGCATAGCTGATGGCCCTCAGCACAATACTGCTCAACTTCCATGTCAGATTCATTCCATTCAAAGAAAAGCCTTTGTACTTTTTTTTTTCTTCAATCTTTGAATAGCTAAAATTTTGGACTGAGCCTGGAAGCTCCTCCAGGTTCTTGCAGGAATGTGCAACCTTTGGGAACAGGTAAGATTGAAATCTGCACAGAAGAAAGAGGCTCCTGGAACCAATGAAACTCTACAGCCACGACCATACCTGGGGTCACTGCGGTCACTTGTGGCTTTCAGACTGCCCAGAGATATTTTTCACAGGAATCTGATGGTGAGAGCAGCTCAGTGGCTTTGGCTGGTTCAGTTTGACTCGACGTTTTGCAAACCCTCGTGTCAAGATGACATAAATCAGCCCCATCCCCAGTGTGTGGGGACACGCAGGGATGAGCTGCCTTGCCCAACACTGCGCCGCAGGTCACTCTGCAAGGGACTAAAGAACACTTCTGCCTCTAAAGAACACTTCTTTTGGTCTCCTCTTGCTTGTTTTGCTTACCCAGTGGCGGGCCACAGCTGCAGCTCTTGGCTGCCAGGGGCTTTTTGGGGGGCTTTGATCCCCTTGGTGAAGTTCTGGTCGTGCAGGGACCTCACACGCTCAGGGTACAGCTTTAATCTGCCCGTGCCACACCAGTCTGGCCTGGAAATAACTGCAGAAGTGTCAAACAAATGCATCAGTTCTGCAGTCAGGATGAAAAAGGAAGAAAACCAATTGTCTCATTCCTGAGGGAAGATGGAGCTGCTGGGGCACCCTGGGCCAACAGATTCCTGACCACGCTCA